TTTCTTTAGGAGGACATATCTATTGATGCTTATCACATTAAAATTTAAAGCAAAAGTTAAAATACACTGTTCCTTCAAAGTAAAAATAACAAACCAATTTTATGTCCATATACATAATGCATGAAAAGTAACTGTATTTTCCAAAATACAATATGTATGTATATATTCCATTCCCCAACTGTAGTCTCCAGATGTGAATAAGTGAATGAATGAAGCTGGAAAGAGCACTTAGAACCCACCACCACGCCCTTTACCCACCTCAGTGGGTAAGAAATAGCCTCAAGGCTTGGGACACTCCACACTTCAGGAATCCTAGGTCTAGCCAAGCACCTGACATTTTGCAGATGAGGAAAAATAATCCCCAAGAAATTAGGAGACTTTGGTAGGTTTTGTGTCAACTTGGTTGGGCCATGAGGCTCAGTAGTTTGGCAGCTGAGGCCTCTCCCATGAGGTGATCTGACATAATGTAGTCAACTCTCTGATGCAGTCAGCATGAGCAGCCTCGTCATTGTGGGGCAAGTGGGGTGGCGTGCAATTGAAAGGAGGTTTCCTCGAAGGTGTGGTCTGTTCCTATGTAAGCAGACTTCGGGGGAAGGCATGGCTGGTCTTGCTGGCCTGGATTCTGCATCGGTTTCATTGGCTTCCAGTTCTTTGGACTTGAACCAACCACCTGCCTATTGTCTGTCAGCCTTAGGAGCTTGCAGTGGCCTGCCACATTGTCTGTGGGCCTTGGATTCATTCTGCTCTACAGCTATGAGCCTAACTCGCCTCTACCAGTCTGTGGTCTTCCTGTTTCCTTGTTCATCAACCCTGGAAGCTACATAGGTCAGGAAAAGCCTCAAGCTTAGCATCTGACCCGTGGACTTCAACTGGACTGGAGTTACCCACTTCCTTTATATAAATATGTAAGTTATTTCATATGTATCGCTGGTTTTGCTTTTCTAGAGAACCCAGACCAACACAGAAACTTAACCAACTCTTTTGATCCAAATGATTGTTTCTGGACAGTATAAAATGCCCTGACCCACGGACATAAGGCACCAGGCCAGGTGGGGATTCCATACCCAGAGATAGGCAGGTCTCCTCTGAAGAGGGAAACTAGGAGAGCCCCAGACCCATCTCCTCCAGTGACCCCTTCCTCAGAGCCTTTAGGGTCTTTAACTCTAGACCCCAGGTCTATGTATCCATGTGGAGCTGGCTGCTTTCTGATATCAAAATAAATAAATAAAAGGAAGGATGAAGGAAACAGATCCATCTCAAGCACATCCCTTTCCGCATAATTTCACGTCAACTTGATAAATAAAGTGTAGGGATGGAGTTTAGCCTGTCAATTGGGTCACAACTGGATGACCTCATTTGGAGGTGCAACCAAGATAAATGGCTTGCTGGAGGCCAGCCCCGCCCCACCCCCCTTGCTCCCCTCTCTCTCTTTCTGCTTCACCTTCCTGTTGGCAAGTCATGCAGCTGAGAAGCTTTGTGATACTTCCACCGCCATTGTATCCACAAGAGTTTGCAGCTACTGGCCTGTGATCTTCCTGCCTTCTCCATCATTACGTGTAGCTCCGTGAGTCTGAAGAGGGATTTATGGACTAGTATTGGACTTACGAATTTGCTTTGAAATGGGCTGGGATGTTTTCCTGATATTCAATAACTTCTTGATATAAAGCTCTTTCTTACACATATATGAGTGTCACGGAATTTGTTTCTCCAGTCAACCCGCCTAACACACCACGTAATGCTAAAAATAAATATCCTCACTCAACGTTTGCATGTAATTTCCTTGTCCAAAAATGTAACCTTTTTTGGTGCCACAACTTCTACTTTTCCCCGGGTTGATGTTTAAGGAATATAGAAGCTAGCATATAGAATATATGATGACTTTTTAAAAATGTATCGTTAATTGGGAGTTCATACATGTTATTACATAGTTCATTCACGTCAAGCAGTATTGTAAAATTGCTTCCACAATCAGTTTCCAAACATTATTCTCCTTCCTGGCCTCCTTGACATCGTCTCCCTTTGACCAAGTACACTTGCCCACACGCTCACACCTGGGAGAGACCCTAAGCCAGAGGAGCAGAACAAAGAGCGGGTAATCACAGGTGCCCCATTCCGGTGCTGTATCCGACTTCCAGAATTCTGATGCTACAGAGACCCAGACGCACACCTCACACGGAGAAGCCTTCCCCTCGAAGTGAATGAGTCCCAGGACGAAAGTAGCACACCACTCAGTCTCTAGAAAATCCACTCATTGTATTTGTCTCTGATGCATAAACAGCATGGATTTGGCTGAACTGTGGTTTGATATACATGAGTCACGGAGCAGAGAAATAGGAGTTCGGCATTCCAAAGCACACCTTGTAAAAATAAATTACCATTGCCATTCTAGCCCCTTCCTTCATCTTTGCCTGTTTAACCACTTCCCCACCACCTGCCCGCATCAAAAGTGGGCATGAACCCCTCATCTCATCTCCCTCTCAAGGGTCTAAGCTCTCCTATCCCTACTTGTACAAGTCTGTAAAACCAACGGTATTAATCACATTGTGCAAGGGCATCCCACGTGCGTTTAGCCAGAGGCTGAGACCTATCCCCCAAGTGCACACACATACGGACACTTCATCATGGACTCAGGGTCTTTCCTGCAGATGACAGATGGTCAGCCAAAATACCATATGAGTCACATGAAGCCTAGAAATTTTCTACCCCACCCCACCCCCCAACCACCACCCCAACTGCCCTCTCTGTAGGAGGAGGGGTCAACAGTTGGGATTCCCAGATAGAACACATATTAAAAGCAATGACATCATCTACCCAAAAGGGGCATGAACTAATTATGATCATGGAGCCTAGGTGACTTCAGAGTGGTCGACTGTCAAGTCAGCCTCCTGCTCTTTACGTTCACAGAGTGCCTGTCCAGGTCAACGACTCGAACTGATGGAGGTTGACATCATTGCTGGTCATGTTCACAGTTAGCACCTGTGGGGACACAAGGAAAAGTATGGGGCATTTGGTGTGTGACGCTTCCATACACTCAAAGATCAGGAATAAGCCAAGGCTCCATAGAAAGAACCCTTTGCTCCACAATCCCCTTCTAGTGGCCAGGTGGCCCCCCGATCTTCCTTAGAGTCTGAGGATAACAAGCCTCAGAGTAATGGCAAATGCAGGCAATTAGTGATAGAGGGTTAGAAACCACTGCAAGTACCACTTTGTGTCATTATAGCTCCATTTTTTATATGCCCAACATTGAAATAATAAAAGCTTCATCTAATGAATCCCTAGAAAGTTATCAGTTTAATGTGCTTGATACCACTGATGCATGTGTTGTTATAAGAGCTGTAAAAGCCGCCAATAAAATGATTTCTTTATATATATTTTCTCCTAAATCTCACCTAAATAAATGAATAAAGCTATCAGTTTGCATTAGAAGGCATAAGTGACAGGAAGCCTTTGATGCTGGTTTTGTCAGACTTCTTTTGGGTCTGTGTGGCCTGTGACACCCGGGGGCATCTTTGAACTGATAATGTTTTAGAATTGATGAAATATGGCAGTACAAACAATTTGAGAATTCTCTCTGCAAGTCAGAGATTACAAGTAAAAGTAGAACCTGGCATAACTTCAGAAGACAACAAATTGGAAAGTATAGGTCCAGACCCTCGATTCCAATTGGGTGTTGTTGTTGCCAGATATCGGAGTTGTTTCGGACTCATGCTAACTCTGTGTCTCACAGAAGAAAATACTGCCCAGAACTGGACCATTGAGAGGCTCGAGCCCATGGTTGCAGCCATGTGTCCATCCATCTCGTTGAGACTCTTCCTCTTTACCAAGCATGGTGTCCTTCTCCAGGGACTAGTGTCTCCTGACAACATGTCCAGAGTGGGTGAGAGGAAGTCTCCCCACCCTCACTTCCAAGGAGCATGCTGGCTGTACTCCTCCCAGGACAAGTGAGTTCATTCCTCTGACAGTCTATTCAATATTCTTTGCCAAGACCATAACTCACAGGTTATGGTGAATAGGCTTCTCTGGTCTTCCTTGTCCATTGCCCATCTTTCGCTTACATGGGGGGGCGGGGCGAATGAAAATATTATGGCTTGCATCAGGTGAGCCGTAGTCTTCTAAGTGAATACTTGCTTTTGAAGACTTTGGCAATAGGCTTGTCCAAATCTAATATATCATTTGATTTCTTGACTGCTGTTGCCATGGACATTAATTTTGAATCCCAATAAAATGATCAAATTCCATCCTTTCTCTATTTATCACCCAGTTATGAGAAACCATGGGCCCATGGAGTCAGAGAGCTTCACAAAGGGACTTTCAGGAAGGAATATCATTTGGGAGGGAAGTAGATGAGCACAGCCCAGGCATCTCTGGGCTGGCAACGACCACCCAGCATTCTCACAGGTCACCAACCTGTGCTATCGAGTTGTAGGTGAAGTGCGGTGTGATATCTTTGTCACTCAGAGAGACGCGGACACTGGTGATGACAGTAAGACTGCCCAGCCCCCAGATCTCAGCGTATCCCAGTTTCAAAGCATTTGTTGCTGCGATGTAGTTATTGTGGACGATGCGACTCTGGACAGTATTCTGTCAAAACAAGGAAAAAAGAAACCAGAGAAGGACAATAGAAAGCAACATTCGGCCAAACTTTTCCCAACATCTTTTTAGGCCAAAAGGTAGATCATGCATTGAAATAACTGTGGAGTCATTATCCTATGCCTCGGGGTGGGGGCGGCGTATTTTTGGCTCTCTCTCCCATTGCCCACCACCCAGCGCGAAGCATCACAGGGCCTGCAGCATTGCCCCCGGACTCTGCAGGAGACAACGGGTCTCCGGAAGTGTATGTTCTCCGTGTAGGAAAATCATACCACATGAGGCCATGCCTGCACAATGCAGGAATCAGGGCTGGAGGACAGCCTGTTCTTTGGTGCAGTGGTGCACTGGAAAAGCTACCGATAAGACAGAAATGGGTTAATCACAGAAAACTTCTCAGGAGCCCAGTGAATCTCCACCAGAAAGCCTGAGGAGAGGAGGGTTGGGAATTTGCCAGATGAGTGAGAAAGGGATCCTGGGGGGGTACTTCAAGCCCTACTGATAGCCAGCCTGGGGCTGAGCCAGTGGACCCCTGTGCTCGCTGCACACTCACCTGGCTGGCTGAGAAGTTGGCCAAGTAATAGAGCCCTTTCTCATAGGTATCTGAAAACAAACAGTAGGGTAGGTGTGAGCTGGGCTCGGCTACAGAATTCCATCGGTCTCGTGGGGGTCAAAAGAGTAGGAGGTTGTTTTCATCTTGCTGGTCTTCTTGTCAGAGTTCCCTTTGGTCATTTAAATCTTCTTGAGGTGATCTTAACAGGCCCTGCAACCTCCTTCTCAGGACTTAGCTTACACAAAATGGTCTAAATGAATGTGTGTTGACCACAGATCGCCTGTCTGTAGCGGTCCACAGGAGCAGACCAGACCAGCGGCCAGTGGTGAGCCATTCAGAACCAACCATCAGTGTCAGGAAGCCGAGAGACCTTCCTCACTAGAGGACACACACTAAATGCAGCTAATGGGAAGGGTATAGGAAGTGCACTGGGAGGCCCAGAAGACACCCAAGAACACAGGGGCCTTGGTGTGAGCCCAGGAAACCTACTCACCAATGCTGGTGCCGTCGTCCCAGAAGAGGCAGCCCTCCGCAGCGCCATTCTCATCCAAGGCCACCTTGATGCCCATGAACTTCTGGCGGCTGCAGTGAGGTGGGAGCGGCATGAGACAAAGCAGGGCCGCAAGTACAAACCACAGGTTTGGATGTCAGGGAGCAAGGGGGCTAAAGGAAGTTCTTCATGTGTGAAGTCAGACAGGGTCCGGGGAGTCAAACTAAAATATAACACCACTACCACCACCACCACCCTGCCTGTGTATAATGAGGTTGCTGTGGGTTAAAGGGTCTCGGCCTCATGGGGGGGTCTGAGTGAACTGGTATTGAGACAGCAGCAGCCCATCCACATCCTACCTCAAGCGGGTGTTCTGTGCGGGCTCCTGCCAGGGCAGGATGTAGCCCCCACGCACATGGAGATTAATGTGGTCCAGGGGGGCCGGCAGTACCTTCCACACTCCCCGTGCATTAATGTCCACACCCTGGGGGCCAGAAGAAGGTGGCAGGTGATGGACGATACAGATGCAGGTGTGCACAAAGATACAGCACACATCTTATGCGCATATTCTCGCACACACATGCACACAGAGACACACCACATGTGCACACATGCGTACACATACACACATACACATAACCATGCCCACGCCAACTGAAACATCCCCGCACCCCGTGTTGCTGCTCTGGTCATGCTGTCCACCCAAGTCCATCCAGCACATTCCCGTTACGATCCCTCTCCATGTTCACCCAGGGGCCAGATGACATCCCCTGCCACCATGACACCCTGCTAGGACCCACTGCCTCTGGGACTTGCAATAACAGTTGATCCACGAGGCCACTGAGTGGGTCCTGCCCACCCATGGTCCACGTACACGCTGTGTCCCCACACACTACCAGAGAAGACTGAACAATGCCCCTCATCTTTATTACTACCACCCCCCACCCTCAACGTGAGTCTTCTCCACTGTCCATTGCACCAAGAGCCCACCTTGGCCCCATCACCTTCATTGGCCCATCCCCACCCCTACCAACCTAGCCAGCGACTGTACAACCTCACAGAAAATGCTGATGTTGGGCTCCCTCCTGCTACACAGCCTTATCTTCAGCATCCTCTATCAACTTTCAGGTCTACATCTTTGTCTTGCCTCTACAGCTGGATGGGGGTGCTTCCGCACCCCAGCATCACCTTTCCACAGTTCCTCATGAAGAGAGAGCACTCCTGCACCTGAGCACCTCGGACACTTCAGGATGGACAACAACTAGCAGTGAGCCAATAGCCTGTGTGTTGTGGCGTGCTTAACAACATCCCATAGTGGTAGTGCCCTCCCCGCTAGATGCCACTAGCTCCTCTTCAAGCCCTGTTGTGACCACCAACAGTCTCTCCAGGCATATCCAAATGTCTCTGTTAGAAAGCTAGAGGCGCAATGAGGGGCTGTCCCTCAACACGCCAAAGCCTCCCTCCCCCGTTACAGGAAGTTGAAGCTGCTAAGGCTGGAGGGCATGCACACATTCAGGTCTTTGAGACAGGAAGCCAGTAAACATGGGTGGGACCCCATCTAGGCCAGGTGGGCTTAATTCAGCCAGTGGGGTTAACCAGTATCATCGACCCTGCCTTCCAACAGGAGCCCTGAAAAAGACAGAAACGTTGGGACTACGCTCTCTCCCAGCTATGCCTCGGACGCTCTCTCTCTGGCTTGTGTTCCATTTACTGTAACGCCTGAATCTGCTTCTAGCCTTTACAAAACTCACTTGGATCACAAACCAGGCTTCAGTGTGAATTCTTTCTCGCATGAAGCCAAGGACCGAGGTATTTCTCCCATGAGAGACCTAACATCTCCAGGTGTCAAAGTGGCACCATTGGAAGATGGGGACTCTGCTCCCTGCTTCTTGGTTCTGTATGTTTGATTTCTGCAGATTCCCCCAGGAGACAGCTTACAGCACAGGGCAGAAGGAGGTAGAAGAAAGAACAGTCCTGGGGAAGCAGGTTCACTCCCCTGGGCAGGTCCTGCCCCCTGGGACCACCACACGACTCAGAAAAGCAAGGACCAGTGGCCAGACAATCCATCCCAAGCCCTGGGCCCCCTAAGGCCTTCACGAGCTGAGCTCTCAGATGGAAGCAGCCAGGCCTTGCTTTAAGGTGCCTCCGAGTAGACTTGAACCACCAGCCCTTCAGTTCGCAACCGAGCGTGTGCGCCTTTGCAGTGAGGCTGTTACAGGAGTGCACAGTGCTCTGCCCGGCAGTGCTGCCTCGGGTCCTGTGAGTGGAAACCAAGTCAACAGCACTCCACCACAGAGAAACGATGGAGACGGAGCCGGGGAGGGAAGAAGGCCCCGAGGAGTCGGGCCAGGAAGAGCTGCTGCTTGGGCCACGTCCCAGCAACCCCGAGAGAGGAGCGTTTGACCTGATGTCTGTCTGTGTACTCCACCCACTCCCGGGCGGGCTCCACCGGCAGACAGCGTACCGTGTAGTAGTCGTACCAGCGGGCTCTGGGGAAATAGGCAGAGACGCTCCTCGCATTCTAAAAGTAAACACAAGCACAGTGAAGCCGAAAACCACCATCTGTCTTCTAGGTCCCAGGAACCAGTCTGCGTGGGAGCGGAGTTAAACATGACCTTGGGCCCACTTCCCTCCCCTCTTGAAGCTTTCCTTCCTCAGCCCCTCCGCAAACAGAGACGAGTTGCCTGCCCAAAGCTGATGGCTTCCTTCCCTGAGAGCCTCTGCAGGCCAGAACTTTGGCTGAAGCAGCCCCCGTGGGCCTGTGACACCCCACCCCCTGCCTCCTGTGCTCTCCCTAAAGGGCTGGGCTGAGATGGCTGGGCCTGCTGAGCTTCAGGATCGGCTGGGCAGCCAATATGAAGCAGGTGATGAGATCTGGGTCAGACACAGTCAGCGGACGTTGTAACCAGAGACGTCATCCCCAACAAAAGAATAAGCAAAGGCCTCTCTTCCTCTCCCTGCCCCCCAAGCCCCCCCCACACTTTTTTTGTGTGGCCTGAGGACCTCGTTTCAGGTGGAAGGGTTTGTGATGAGACTGAGCTTGTACACACTGACTGCTGCGGGTTTTGTCTTATCATCCACAGAGGGTTGTGATGGACAGACTAGGACCTCTCCTGGATGCCCCACCCCTCACCGCAGTGGATGGAGACGTGGCCGTATCTCCGAGTGCACCCCCAGAGCTTGTTCCTTCTGGACGGTCCTATGACCCAGAGTGGCTGTGAAGTTTAATGAGGGGAGAGAGATGAACCCCCAGGACGCAGGAGCGGTATCGGGAAATTCATCTCCTGACTGAGAGCAGCCCCTTCTCCTGGCCCAACCCCTCCCACTGCTGCCTAGCAGGGGCCTCCACCCTTCCGAGGATCCACTCACAGACTCCAGGACAGGGCTGACCAGGAAGGCAGGGCCCAGCAGGAACTGGGTGTCTATATCCCGAGTATTCTTATCGGACACAAACCTGGAAAAGGGAAACAAAGACAAGTCGGGCCTCATACCAAGACAGGGCCAAGCCATGGAGAGTGACCTAGCTTGGGGTCAGGTCAGAAAGCAGCCTGCTATGAGTCCTGCCCTGCCTGCTTCCTCTCAGTATAGCTTAGTCAGGTGCACACGGCGCCACTTTCTACGTGCCTCTTTGGGGTTGAATCACATGCCCCACTGGAAGGCTTGCTGAAGGTAGGTCTTTGCAGAGGTGAGTAAGCTCACGTGAGGCCCTCCTGGAATGGGTGGGTCCTGATCCCATTTGAGTGCTCTCATTACGCATGAGGAGGAGGGACAGAGACACAGAGAGACACTGGACGAAGAGGAGCCGTGTGAGGATAGAGACGGCCAGAGGAGTGATGCACAAAGCAGGGGAGACTACAGACTGCTGGCCGGCCAACACCAGAAGAGATGAGAGAGGCAGGGAAGAGACCCCCCCTCAAAGCCCCGGCAGAGATCCGCATGGCCGTCAGCCTGATCTCGCCCTCACCCTCCAGGATGGGGGTGCTATCTGTTCCTGTCCCGACAAGCCATCTGAGGTGCAATACTTCACTGCAGAAGTTCTGGTGTATGGACATGAGGTCAGATTCTCCAACCTCCGGAAATGGTTTCCACCTACAAAGCATCCATCACTTACCCAAGGGATACTCTACGTGCAAGAATGGCTGTCTTCCTTCCACTCCTTCCCCCAGCTGGGCTCATGTGGGTCCAAGTTGAGGTGCCCAGACATTGACCACAGACACACCGAGGTTTGCATAAGCAAATCGAGATGAATTATCCTGTGTCATCATTGTGCTAAAGGCGCCATGACAGGTCTATGCCCCAGAGGCTGACAGCTACAGTCCTATAGAGTTACAGTCTTGGAAACCCACACAAGCAGTTCTACCCTGTCCTACAGAGTCGCTATGATCCTCAATTCGATGGCTGCGAGTTTGGTTTTATGGATGACTTAGAGGGCTTACACCAGGAGGCAATCCAAAATACTAATATGATTAAGACTGTCACCACATCCACTGGTCAGCAGGACCAAATAGAACAGAGAATCCATCAGTCATCAGGATCATATGGAGTGAATGATTCATAAAGTGTTGGGGACTCGGGTGGACACGCACTCATGCAAGAGGGGCCGGACCACGGTGCTGCCCTCGGCGTGGGCCTTGTGCATCAGCGTGTAGAGGTAGGGCAGCAGGGTGTATCTGATGTGGAGGATGTTTCTGGAAATGTCCTCAAAGGTGGAGTTCCAGGACACGGGGTCTTGTCTCTAAAGGGGAAAGAAGAGTACAGTGAACCCTCGCCACTTCGCGCTTCAACTTCCGCGGCTTCACTCTATCGCGGTTTTTTTGTAACAGCACCCACTGCCTACACCCGCTCCTTCAGAGGAAAAAGACGGCGACCCACCTGTAGAGTACATCCCTTAAGTCATTTCATAGGCTATTGATTACACTATTTGTAAGAACTATGTATAATAATACTGTATGTGAAATATGTAATACTGTAAACTAGATGCCATAAATAATATAATAAATAATAAATGATAATTGTAACGTCCAAAATGTTTTACTGTATTTTCCCTTTTTCGTTTAATAAATTGGGTAATATGAGTGTAATGGTGACTAAAGGGTGTTTTTTCATGTCCTCTATGCTCTAACTACGAAAATATTTGATTTACAAATAAGGAATCCTACTTCGCGGAATTTCATTTATCACGGTAGGGTCTAGAACTGATTAACCGCGATAAACGAGGGTTCACTGTATTCATAATTTGCCTGGCAAACTTCAAGAACCCAAGGCATTAAAACCTTGTTCCCATTGAAGACCATGCAGAGCTAAACCAGAAATGGTTGTAGTGATTCTCAGAGAGCACTCCTGAAGTCCCCAAAGGGCTTGCTCTCCCCAGGAAGACGTACTACTTAGGTCCAACTCTGCCTAAAGAGGAAGACTCCTCCAGGGGAGTCTGGGGTGCGGTTCATGGAGCTGTAGGGGTGTGGTGATGTTGAGGATGTCCCCCAGGAAACCCTGTAGCTCAACCCTGGAGGGTGTTGTAATTGCAGGCGACTGTCTCACCCTGGTCCCGATGGTGTTGTGGTTCCTGGCATAGGGGTAGAAGGCCCCCAGCTGCATCCAGCGGACACACATCTCATACTCCGCATCCCTGAAGAAGCCGCAGATGTCTGCTCCCGTCTGCAAGAAGGAATCACACAAAGGCGCATGCAGTGACCGCCAGAAGATGTTGCCGCCTGCTTGGGGATCAGGAGGGACATAAGGGAACTTACATAGGAGATGCCAAAGAGGCTGAACTCCATCATGCCTGCAATGAGAACCAGCATCTGTCAGAGGAAGGTCAAGACCCTTGGCCCTCCTTCTCCTCCCTCACCCACCTTCCCCTGAGGTCCCTCCTCATTCATCCTGGTATCCCCGGGGCAGGGTCCCTCACCAATGATGGATTTCCTCAGCTGGTCCCACGCGGCTGTGTTGTCTCCCAGCCAGTGTCCTGCCCAGCGGCCCGAGGAGGGGAAGGTGGAGCGTGTGACGACGATGCCTCGCTCTCCTGTCACCTCCTGCACAGCTCTGGGTGGAAGGACAAGGACATCCGTGGGGACAGTGACGGGGAGGAAGCACCACCGAGCTCCTGCTCACAGAGCTCCAGACTCGGAAGGAGAACAAGGAGTTTCCTGTCTGCCTGACGGGAGGTGCGTGGAACTTGGGGGCACGTCGGGGAGACGGTGGGGATAGTAGCACACCCTGGGCTTTTCCACGGTGCTTCAAAGAGAACGGCACCGTGGAAGAGCCTGGGGGGGGACCAGTGGTCTGTGATTCCGTGCTATGCCAATGACTGGCAGTTGGAAGCCACTCAGCAAGTCCATGGAAGGGAAACAAACAAACAAAACCGCCATAAACTCTGGGGCAGTCCTGTAAAGTGTATGGTCAACAACATGAGTCAGAGAGGACTTGTGGGCAACGTACACAAAGAGCCAGCTCTCTGGCTCCCCTGAAACAGCCAGGAACCATTTGAATATCATTACTGCTTGGCCACACTTTCTTCTATGTGTTGGAGGGAGATGTTCCTTTGGATAATTGTAATTCCCCTACACACACACACACACACACACACACACACACACACACACACTCTGGGGTCACACGATGGGGACTGTTCATTCAAGGGAAACCCAGTCGACTATCAAATAAGAATGACCAGCAAAATAGGATCCCGATAGGGAGGGTCCACTTCTGAAGTCCAAGAGGGTGGGGTCCTGCCCTGGGGGTCACAGTCGTCCCCCAGCACTTGATCCCCCAGGAGACGGGACTCCGTGTCTGCCTCTGTATGCTCAGCTCAGGATGGAAGCCGTGCTTCCGACGACAGACACCGAGTCTGGCTCCACACCCTCCGTGTGTTTGCTTAGTGAATGAGAAGTGCTGTGGTCATCTGAGCCCTTTGGAAGAGATGGACTGCCCAAGGGCTGCAGGAGGGGCCTCAGACAGCAGTGATGAGCACGGCCTCGCACAAGGACCCGTGGATAATGGGTTCGAGAAGATCGTGGCTCAGCACTCCACTCCCTGGGTTCTCCAGTCCAGGTGGGCTTCTTGTGGGGAGCTGAGACTCACTCGTAGGTGGGCCTGGTCTGGGCCCAGCCGTACAGGCTGTGGACGTCATAGTGCCGCACCACGGAGCCGTCAGCCAGCACCTGCTCGCCATCCATGCACAGGGTCTTGCTGCTCAGGCCCCGGTCCCTGGACTCCAGAACTGAGGGAAAGAGCAAGCTCCATGAGAACCATCCAGCCCTGCTTTTCCCTGGATGTCTCCTCAAGGGTTCGCTGAGCCCTGGATATGCCTCCCCTCCTCTCTGGGTCTGGGAACAGGACTCTGATCAGTCGCTGTAGGGTTAGACACCGCATTGCCCTGCAGGCTCATCTAGAAAGGGGGGAGGAGAAGAGGAGGAGGGACATCCCACTTGGTGTCCCTCTTTTTGATCATGACTCAGACATGAAAGGATGCCCATTGGCTACTGTGAGACCTGGACCATGGGGTGGTTTGTTGAAGGCCAGAAAATTCACAGAATAATTGCCCTGATATGAGAGTATTGTGGCAAAGTCCACCAAGCTCACGATACGGGAAAACCTTGATTCCCCACCCACTGGGGCCCAGGGACTCCTGAGAGACATCAGGACACACCCAGACACTTCTCAGAACCCTGGTTGGGAGGCACTGGAGACAGTACTGCGGCAAAGCGATTTTCAGCGGATTCCAGAAACTCGCCCAGTGGCCCCAAAGAGTCCCTCACACTAAGTGGGTCAGGGAGGAGCTGGCCATTGTCTTAGGCCCCCCAGGTACCGGTGTTTGAGCCTGAGAAGTCGGGGTACAACCAACCGTCCCGTGGGCTAACAGAGGAGCCACCTTCCTTTGCTCAGGATGCCCCATGGAGGGTCCATGTGTGGTCCTCACCTGGCATGTAGGGTGGGCGATTGAGGGTGGGATCCTTACAGCCTGGGGGGACAGCCCCATTCACAAAGCTCGCGGGCTCATTCATGTCCTAGAAACATGAACACAGAGAGACCTTGATAGTCAGTAGTCACATGCAGCCAGATCCAGGCAGGGAGAGGGGAGCACCATGGCCCCCAGCAATCAGTCGGTCATAGATTCGTTAACCCCAGACAGCAAAGGTCACCTCAGACTGAGGGGGTGGGGGGGCAGAGGGCATGGATATAGGCAGGGACTGCCAGGCTGCTCCACTTCCCCATGCAGGAAGTACAGCTGCTGTGCCCAAAGGCTTCTGAGGATAAGGGTTATCCCCCTGACCAAAGGCCAGGAGACACACGCTTTAGAATGGTCACACATGTACACACCGCACACACCTCATGCACACCCCACACAAACACTGCCCACACATCACACACCTCATGCACACCCCAGACACACATCACACATACACTGCCTACACATCACATGCATACATACACCTCAGATAGGCATACACTATGATAGATAACAGACATCCACAAGCCCATTTACACAGAGCAGATGCACACCTCCTACACACCACACATATCCCACACACACTCATGCACGTGCACACACACAGAGATATGCAACACTAGATAATGCCCATCCACATGTGCACATCCATACCACACATACACCACAGGAACCACACACACATACCACATGAACCACACACACATACACACCACATATACCACTCAGAGACACACATACAGACACCACATGTACCACACACACACACACAGACACTACATGTACCACACACAGGCACACCACACAGGTGCACAAAGGTAGGCAGTGCCCATCACATGGACACACACAGACACTGCACACGTACATAAGCCACACCCACTGCCACCACCTACAATCCACATGCCGTCGTATTTCAAGCTTTTGTCCGGATCCCGGGGGTTGGAGTGCATTTCTCTCAACTCCCTCTTCCACCACGTGATAGCTGAATTTCGGAAAAAGTCTGGAAAGGCCACATGAGCTCGGTACAGCTGTGAGGACAGACAGAGAATTCATTTGCCCCCATGAACACGTGAGAGACCACACAGGCATTTCCCGAGACCTCAGGCTGCAGGAAGCCTGTGTGCCATTGTGCCAGGTCATCCGGGCACAGCTAAGGCTTGCCTGCTGGCTTCAAGGAAATGTCCTGCATGCATGGACAAGAAGGTGGCATCCATCACACACCTGCACAGCTTCAGGAGCACACAGGATGCTGTCCGCCTCTTGTCCACATGACTGGCAACAACCCCCACCCCCACCTCTGTCCCACAGATCAGACGCCTGCCCCCCAACTCTTGGTCTACCCTTACTTTCTTAAGCACCATGCAGGGGCCATGCCATGGGCCAGGGTACCAGGCTTGAAAGGTAGGCATGGGATGGAACAGCCCAGATGACCTCCAGGGCTGTGATAGGTAGGTTTATTGTGCCAACATGGCCAATGAACATATGTGGGATTAATTGAAGAGCG